CTGAGAAAAACAGTACACTTAGGAAAATGAGATTATTAAGTCAAAATAAATTCCATCTGCTTTCCTTCCCACACTAAATTAGGATCTGCGAGGAGCTCAGAAAGCTCCTTCCCTAGGCAGAACCAGAAGGAGGTCTTGAAGCAATGGCTGGAGTTAGAGGTACCATTCAGCAGTTTTGATGTACAGAAGGCTAGCACTGAGCACTGTTAATGCCAAATCTCAGAATTCATCCCTTCCCCATGCTTGCTCAAAGATGACAAATACCTGTATAATTTAGGATTAAAAAGCCTGAGTCAGGCCTCCCAAGGTAACCATTTCACTAAAAATTGAACACCTAAGACCAGTTAAATTTTAGTTAAGATAAAGCCTTATATTACATTTATCTGTTTTTCTCTAAGTATTTCTGTGTCAAGAAAAAACAAGTCATACAAAATGTGCATATGAATGTGTGGGGAATGTTACTTAAAAGTACATCTTTAAGTCAGCAAAATTTTAGAGGCAGAGAGAAACCAAATTCCAAAAAGCATGCAATTAATAAATTTATATCTAAAGTACACTCATATGCAGTGTTGCAATTAATAGCAATGTTTGCTTTATTCATTCACAAAGTCAACAGTAGACACCAATATTTATATTTAGCTCTATATAAGCAACTGTTGTGGGCAGAGGGCTGCATTTGGTGCTAAAACAGATGTCTAAGGAAAATTCACTTTTCTAGTTGTACTTGTTTTTGAACAATGTAAAATGATGTTTCATTATAGGTTGTCAAATACTTAAACAAATTGTTACCAAGTATAGACTTTATATAAGGCTCTTAAATAGAAAGGCAAATGAAACTCAGTTCTGAAGTTACTAAGCATCTGGTGAGGAAGACAGTTATGAACTCAGCTAACTCCATACAAGGCACAATGCTAAGCATGAAGAGTAATGCCAAAGGAACATGAAGAAGGAAGGTTAATTAGTCATCAATTCTAAGCCAATTTGTATCTATTTGTATGCTGAAAAGATGTTAAAAAGCAAAAAAAAAAAAAAGGCAGTTAAATATCTGCTGTTATTAAATTTACTACTAAAAAACTATCTATAATTAACTCAAATTCTCCAGGTCTTATAATAATGAAAGGAAAATCACATTTGAATTCTTCATTCTAACACTAATCAGATTAATTTGTTTCTGGAAGGTTGAATGCCAAAGACAATAAATGCCCAACTCCACCTGTGCTTAAACACAGTCTGATTTCTTTTCTTCTTGTTTTTTTTTTTAAAGAAATGATTAGAAAAATGGAAGAACAAATTTAGTTTTATGGAATGAAATATGTGTTTCATGAGTAAACTTCAACAAAGGTATCTTACTTAGGTAAAATGGCGTTGAGCCATAGGCTTCTCTGGCTAGAAAATGCAGACCTTGTTTGCCACCAGTGGGAGAGAGCCCTTTCCCCTCATCCATATTCCCTATCTCTGGCATGAATTTAGAAATGTTGGCACACAAAACTGTAGATCAGTCTTCACAGCCCACACAATCTAAATGAAATTGGGCCCAATGGACACTTTTGCAAAGGCCAACCAGCACAGATATTCTCAGAAAGCCTAATGTACAGTAATTATTCTGAGGTCAACTTAACTCTTGTCTATCAAAATGCAAAATGTCTCAATGTGTACATTACAAAAGTCTTAGTAGTTCTAATTCAGTAAGTGGCTACAGGGCCACTTCTTTATGCTGAGTGTGACACAGGATGCTCAGAACAAGCAGGAGATAGGAAAGAAGTATGTAGTCTCCAGGGGCTAATAATCTAGTTACTTAAAAAATACTTACCGAACTTTAAGGACTAAATTTTGAAAACATTAGAAGACTGAAAACAAAACAAAAACAAATCCTTACCTTTGTATAATAATTAATCCCGATCCCCCAAAGCACTCTTTAACCTTAGAAGTTTGCTGTAAAAAGGGGCACGGGGGTGTTCTTGCTCATTTTTAGTGTCTGGTTCAAGGATCTCTGTTATGAAGGGGGGAAACACCTTTTAGGTTTTTACTTCTTTTTAATATTATGTCCAAATAATTAATTCAATTAGAAGTGAATGTATACACAGAGGATCTTTTTTGCTTTGCTTTAATAACCCATGATTACTCAAAATCTAATGAATTAATGTCAGTCAGACTCCAGTTTAAAATGACAATATAGGAAAGTACTGTCTCCCACTATGGGTATTAGGCTTCTAGTAATGATTGGGGAAAAAAGGCCATGGAACCACTTACAGATATTTAACAAAACAGATCAAATCTCTTTTCTCTCTTGCTAAAACAGTTTCTCAAACTGTTTATCAAATAGTACTTTTCGTATCTATTCCCCTCTATAAATCACCCTCCCAACACACCAAAAATATTTGATCTTGAACCTTTAAGTCTCACTCTTTTATGCTGCATGCATCAGTGAATCCTGTTAGAATGAGAAATCCATGCTACTCAATTATTTTCACTCAATAAGCTTAGAGTCATAATTTTGTATAAAAAAGTTCAAAATATATTGTAATTTGAAATTAACCAAGTCTTTTGGCTAAAGAACAGTGATCCCCAGAGTACTGTCCATTCCAGAGAGACATTCTGCACTCTGTTGGTTTTCTTTCTCATCATATCATATGCTCACTAATAGCCATACACAAATAGTAAAAATCAAGGGCAGAATAAATAAGATGCTTTTAGCCTAAGTAGTGCTTTACATAAAATTATAAACTGTCACATAAAGAATCACCTCAACACCGTAACATACAGTCAAGAAGTCTTCAGATTATCTGAGATTTAATATGAACACCAATTTAAAATCTCTTGAGACAAGTTCAAGGTAACAAAGTACTATATATTGCTAATGATTTTCTCCTTTATAAAAACATGCTTTTACTGCCGAATGATATAGGAACCCAATCTCTTTCATTGATAAATTAAAGAAGATCCAAATCTTGGAAGCAGGCAAAACATCCAGTGCTTTAATACCACAAACTCATCCACTCCTAATGAGATTCTATCCTTATGATACCTCACAGCAGAAGACCTAAAAATAGTTGGGATTCAAAGTACATCCAAATTTCAACTGTTTTGATATTTTTTCTATCCCATTTACTTGATTATTAACTGATTCCCAACCAAACTCCTTATAAAGGCTCTCTGAAAGAACTTCATTGCCAATATTATTATTAATTATTATTATTACATGGGGTAAATAAATTAGTGACAGCAAGTGTTCAATTTCACAAAATCAATCAGTGGCAGAGACTAAGAAAGATTCTAAGACTCTGACTCAGAACAATCTGCTTACTCACAAATAACAAGGGTAAACACAATCTTTTCCAAGCCTCACTATACTCTAGTACCCATTTTTTTCCTCCTAAAATCATTTACATAGGGTCTCATCAGCTACGTGGATTAATAGATTCTCCCGTGATATAGCAAAGATAAACTTGGATCCTTACCGTGGCTAAGTTTACTGGTTACTGTTGCTTTTCTTTATTCTAAGCTCTTTGCTGCTTCTAATACCTGATCTGCTTGGGGACAATCTAAAAGCAGCTGTTTTTCTAAGATCTGTCCATCTATATATTTCTCTGGTGTGTAAGAATGTGGCAGGGGGTGCCGGAGGAGAGGAGTAAATACACTGATAAGTCTTTTAGGCTTATCAGTAGTAGCACTCAGTAGGACAGAACTTTAATCTATGAAAAGAATTCCTTCTGGCCATTTCTTTTTTAAAAAGGAATTTTGTGTGTGTTACAAAAATAAAATCCAAAAATCCTAAGTAAATGAGAAAAACATGAAAACAAGGAAATAGAAGGTAATTACTCCATTGTATTGATCCTAGTTTAAAAAAAAATAGATTATTTGCAAACCCTGAATACACAATTGTCACAAGAAAGCATTTCAGAGCAAAATGTGCTGCAATATGCTACTGTGATTAAAAGCCATGCAAACTGAAAGACCTCTGTAACAAAAATAAAATGACTAGGAAAATAGCTATTTACATACTTTTCTAAAAAGAAAGACTGCAATTTTGTGATAGTTACACAAAGGGAGGTGTGACTTTCACATTTACCTAGTATTAAAACATATTTTCATCCACAGGTATTTAATAACATTCAAAGAAATTGCACAAGGTTTAATACCAAGAATAAACTATGATTTTATGATATTATTACATGTGTTTTAAGCCTAAACCCATCACAACACATACTAAGGGTAATCATTTGGTACACACTCCCTAAACAGAAAAGATCCTCACAGTTTTTCTTGTACTTTAGTTTTTTAAATTGTACCAATATTACCAGACCCAAATGAGAGAATAAGGGGCAGCAATGAAATACACCGTATGTTCCCACTGTAGGCTGAGTCCTGGTCTTTGTTCCAATATTCTAGAGCCACTGGAAGGAAAGCTAAGTATCCATCCATTAAAACGTTTTTACATTATTGCTGGCAAAGTTATACTTCTGACAGGTCTAGTCATCTTGATTATTCCTGCCTGCATTTGCTTCCTTAATACAAATCTCTTTCAATTTTAGGAACCTGCAGTAAACCACCCTGGAAAACAGGTCGGTAGCAGGACAATCTGATAAAACAACGTACAGGGTAGACATTGAAGAATGCAAAGTTATTTTCCTAGTGAAAGAGTTCTGAAGTAATTCTATATCAATGACAATTTTTTTTTTTTAACCAGCTACGCACCTATCCAGATATCATCCACCTTATCCTCAATTACCAGGGTTACCCTCAATCTTAAGATCTCCCAGAACAGTTTTAATGGTATAACTCACACCAAAAACACTAACCACGCCCTTTATACCCAGAATCAAGCCACCTTTTGCTTTTTCTCCCCCTACAAAGTCCAAAATGTACCTTTCATCTAAAAGGGTTCGCACCAGTTCCCTAACCCGAGTCAGAGACTCTAGCTGTGCCTTGACAGAATTCCTATTAGAAGACGCTTTCTCCCAGGCAGTGTGAGGACGCCCAGAAGAGACACCCACGCTTACCTCCCACACACCTGCAACCCCTGGCGGGATGCTGGAGCTGATGTCGGAGGACTGCGCTCCGCTCGGCTCGTGCTCCTACCTCTCGCCTCTCCCGGGAAACTCGAGCCCAGACTGCGCCTCCCGCTGCTTACAGGGACCCAAGCTCCGCCTCCCCCTCCTCTAGTTGGCGAATTCAGCAGCTGTTGCTCCTCCCCCTGCTGTTCCTGCTGCTGCCCGGCTGGTGGCGGCGGGAAGCTGCTGCCCTAGTACCTTCCCGCTCCCTGCACTTCTGCAGCTGTTCTGCCGCTTCCCTTCCCCTGGGACCCCTCTCTCCTCAGTCAGTGGCCTCACACCTGGAGCTGCCTCCTGCCCCGCCCGGGCGCCCCCTCCAGAAACCCAAGCTCACACTATCCCTTCCCGACGACCCTCAGGTCTGGCCGCCTGGTGTGCCTGGGGCTTGTCCGCTTTCAGGGAAGCTGCTCCTCCGGCCGGGACGCATCCCCACACCGCTCCCTCGCTCTACGCCGGCGATCCCCCCCATGCTTCCTCCCCCTGGTGCAGCGTCCACAGCTCTGCCGCCCCACGTTACCCGCCTCAAGCTCTCCCCCCAACCCCCTTCCTTCCTCTGCTCTGCTAGCCCGCCCCCACAATGGGTGAGTCGCCTGCAGGGCCGACCCAGCACCCTGATTGGTGCAGGTGAGAGCTGACCCCTCCCTTCCTCCTCCTTTCGAACACCCTCTCTCTCGGTCTCACCTCCTCCCGCAAAGGCAGGGAACTCTCTTACTATTGGCTGGAAGTGTCCCCACCCATCGCCTTAGGCTCTGCCGCACAGCCTGACGGGAATTGTAGTCTTGCGTGTGCAGAGATTGCGGACGACGGCTGAGAGTGGGACTACGAGTCCCCATAGGCCCCTGCGCGACTCCGGCTGGGCAGGATTCCGGACAACGCCTGGTTCCTCTCGGGTCCTTCCGGCGTCGCCGGAGTGAATTGATCCGGGAGTTGAAGAGGGCTCCAAAGGTGGGAAGTGAAGTCAGGGTCTCAGTTGCCGGTAAGGTGTGGGTCTTCTATCCCAGTCTCTGTAGCCCCGAGCGGAGCAGAAGAGGTGTGGGGTCACACAGGGGCCGTGGCTGAGGCACTTGGGCTTGGTTCTGGCAGGCGGAGCGGACGAGGCTGGGAACGGGGCCCTATGGGCGTAAGCGAGGTTACCCTACGCGAGTGGCGTAAAGCGGGTTTGTAAGTGCTGCCTGCCCTGCTCGGGCCTGAACGCCTCCAGGAAGTCTCCTCTAGGTGGGGGCGGGAGGGGAAGGGCGAGGTTGGCCTCTGGTGCCCCTGGAGAAGGGAGAGGGCGGATGTGTCTGGGGTGGGGTCCTCCGAAGGTGTGGCTTGGGGCGGGGAGATGTGGCTGCTGTTTTCCCCTGCTTTAGAAGTAGGATAGGGAAGGAGTGGAGGAGGGAAGGGGCGCTTGGGAGTCTGCTCTTGGGGTGACTCAGGTTATGCCCTTTGAAAGAAGGGAGAACTGTAAAGGAAGAGTCAATGTTGACAGAGATCTGCGGATTCAGTTCCAGTTTCATGATGTGGCCCTTCTGAGGAGGTAATTTTGCCTCTAAGCAGAAAACCTTAACCTTAGGTGTAATTCCAAAGGTATCTTTACACCCGTTCTGTTTTTAAAGACACTGTTTTCGGATGCCTGTGAGAAACTGAGGGGATAAGTGACGTGCCCAAGGTCACACACGTAGGGACTGATTTGAATCTAATCCAATTGTAATCCAGTTTCTGAATGAGGGCTGACGCACCAGAAAGAGAGAATAGGGAGGTTGGTGGTTTTTTGAAGTCAGTGGGGGAAATTGCAAAGTAATGCATTTTATGTATTTCTCAGAAGCCCTTTAAAGAGTTTTTTGAGTTGGAGGAATTCCTCAATAAAACAAGGACACACTCTTAACTTTTTGGAACAATGAGTGAGTTTCAGCCTACTTATTACGGGTGTACTAAGTGACGGACTGTACCACCATTTCAAACGGTAGATAACGAGATAGGAGAATGTAAAAAAAATATACCCCATCCTTACATTTAAAAGGTGTTCCTTTTCCTCCCTACCTTAGGACTGACGGTTTTTCCTATGATTTTGTAAAACTGACAACAGTAGTATAGGAATTCTGTCACAGAACTTATTTTACACGTTTTTCAAGTAATAATAGTATCAAGAGAATTTGGTGTGCTCATTACTAGAAAAGAAGTTACTTTGCATTTCTTGGACGTAACATCACATTTTGTTGATTTCTGTTTACTTTTCCCCTTATTTTCTTGACTCCAGTGTGTGTGTGTATGTATGTGTAAAATCATGAAGCGCCTACTTTATTTTTCTTAGCATTATAAATGACTTTTAATTCATCCTATTTTTACTAAAGAATGGGAAAGTTGGACATTTATATTTTATATTGAGCAGAAAGCAGTATTCTTGTAACTTAACCGTCTTATCCTTTATAATTGTTAGTGTGACCATTTATAGCTCATGAATATTACTGGATCTTTAATAGAATTTTAGGTGTGTTTTTGACATCAGGATTTCTTTTGTGGTAAGTTTATATACAATAATTCAGTATCTGCTGATAGCTAGTAGTTAATCCTTGCTTACTGTTGTATAAGTTGACCATATGCTGTTTTTTGAATGTACTCTGCAAATATTAACAGTGTTTAACTTTTGAATGCAAAAACTCTTTCTAGGATCATATATTGTATATTGCTCCCCTATGATTGAAGTTAAGATGGTCTGGAGATTAATATAACATTTAAAATAGAGGTATGATATTATAGAATGAAGTAGGAAGTATAGGAGTAACATAGCACCATGAGTAATGCAGTACACAAGGAAAGAAGACCAATTAAACAAAATTACATTGGGATAACTGGCTCCATGCTGTATTATAGGAGGAAATGGTAGTTTACATAGAGCGTAAACTGAACATGAGTTAGTGATAGTAAAGCAAGAATGTTAATGTGTTTTCTAGATGGCAGTGTAGGCATTTCCTTTTTGTTGGGGGAAGCGTGAGATGAGTTCTCTAACTTTTGGCATGCAGCTTTGAGGTTGTGGAATGAGCTTTTGAATTAAAAGTCAGGAAGATTTGGAAATAAGTAAAATTAATTTAATGCACTTGTTCAGTGTGTGTTAGTTTTTGTCCTGGGTTCAGTTCTATCATTACTCTTCATCTCTGAGGCCCATTATAGTTTTGGTATTTCATCTATATTGTAAAATGATGGAGTAAGGTTGTTACTGTATTTACAATCTTTAAGTCACACTGTGGTCACTTTGGATCTCTGCACATTGAAGAATTTAGGGTTCCCAGAGTTATGTGAATACTTGTATTTTTAAAATAGTTAGCAGTTCACCAGTATCCACATTTGTTCTCATTTTTGGTTCTGCAGGAGCCTTGCGTCAGCTTTTGGACATCATCTCTTACAGGACTTAGGATGTCTCCCACATGCATCTATCTTTGAGGGTAGAAGGTCATGAGAACAGGATTCTGTGTTATCATTGCATTCCCAGTAGGTAAAATAATTGAGTACGTGTTTACACAGAGAATGAAGAAGTTCAAACTGGCCAAGTGTAAAGTCATGAAACTAGTGACTGGTGGGATTAAGGCATAAGCCAGGTCTTCTGACTGTAGATCTTACTATTACAGAATAAAGACTCAGTTCCCAAAATTATTTATTTTACATGAGAAAAGGACTTAAATGACCCTAGTATTCAAATTCTTTTACCCTCATACACTTTTTAATGCTGACAGTTTATTCTTTGCCTCCTTTCCAGCTCTCCACACTTACTACCAACCTTTCTTATTTACTACACCTTTCACTTACTACATACATAAGTTTCTTCCTGACTTGGGAACCTTTGTACATCATGTTCATCTCCCTGCGGGACTGCTCCCTGTCTCCTTCCTAAATCTGATGAACTCCTAGTTATTTGCAGATCTCAGTTTAAATGTCATTCCTCAGGGGAACCTTTCCTGACCTTCTTTGACCCTTCCTTCCTAAAACTAGAACTTACTATATAGTAAGTTCCCAGTGTATCTTCACCAGCTTTGTACGTCTTTGTAGCATCATCACAATAGGAACTTAATTATTTCTTCACTTATTTGATAAATGTCTGTCTCTCTCACTAGACTAAGCTACCTAGGTAGGACCCTCTCATTTGTCCTGTGCCTTACCTCATTACTTAGACAGTATCTGGCACAAAGGAAATTTTCAGTAAATACTTGCTGAATGAGTGAGTAAATGATTGAATGAATGAGTGCATTCATGCACAGTGCCTCCAGCATTGCTAGGGATGGAGATACAGAAGTAAGTAAAACAGACTTGCTTTCCTCCCTTAGATGAAAGGACTTATGACAGAAGTTTTATGATATAAATTGTAGAAAGATGTTTGTTCTTTTTGGAGGTCTCTTAAGATCAGGATAGATCGTTTTCTATAGGGAAATGAAAAAGGAGTCATTTTCTGTTACAGCAAACTTTGTGTGTAACACAGCATTTTGGAGACCTTATCACTGTCCTCCTTTTTGCGAGGAACATTCGTTATAACAAAATACAGATGTGGAGGAAACAAACTTTTAATGGATTCTATACTTCCTAATGTGATCTCATTTTGTCCTGAACAGAATTCATGCTTTTTTTCTTTTTTCTTTGTTGTTTTATTTTGTTTTTAAACCATGGTATCTTTTGAATTTTACTTTTAATATCATCTGCTTTAGACAAGGTGACTTTGTAAAATGGAGTCATGGTTGTTTCAAAGGAGCTTATATTTTGGGCTTCTTGAAAATTTTCATATTTCACTGGGTCTTAAGGTAATACCTTATTTGCTTTAAACTTAGATACTTATGAGACTAAAGTGATCATTATTTTAAAAACATGCAAACCAAATTTCAGGGATAAATTTGTGTTAGATTTTGGTTGTGAAAACAAATTCAGTAATCCTTTGCAGTACTGTAATAATCGCATAGAATAAATTGAACAGCTCTGAGTTGCTGTAACCTTATATGCTTTCATGAATTCACCAATTCCCTCTCTCACAAGAGATAGTCAAAAAATGATTGCTGGCATTTGGTTTTAAAATTTGATAATGCTCCCGGTTTTTATTAATAATTGTTAAGTCTTTGATAAGTCCTAAACTTACCTTTTTTAAAAAAAGTCAGTTTTTATGTTATTTTTTATTTTTTTATGATCTTTTTTACCAAAGAAATTCATATTTACCTAGTATAACTAGTATATGGAGAATAAATCTGAAGTACCGCTTCTTACATGTTTTTGGATCATTAGGGTCATTATAATAGGTAATGTTACTAAGAGTTTAAAGCTAATTTCATGGTAAATAAAATTAGAAGTTAAGTAGTGTGAGGTTTGTTTTTTTTTTGTATATATTACTGCATTTGAAATGTTATAGAAAGTTGCAGTCTTAAATATTGATTTTTTGGGGGCACACACACAGTGTAACTAATGAAAACACCTTTATTGCAGCATTTAGAAATAATTTATTTGCAGAAAGATAAGCAATGTAGTTTGGTGGTCCATTTTTGTAGGAAAATGAAAAATTCAGTTTTTAAATTTTAGCTACGAAATTAATTGCATCTTTGATGTAGTGTAGTGTTACAATCTTATTTTCAAAATCATCCTTATATTTTTGGTTTGAATAATAACCTTTTTTTTTTTTTTAACTACCCAAAAAGTGAGTTGAATCTATTCAGTCTTAATCTTACTTTTCTGTGGTTGCTTAGAATCAATTAATTGTTGCTATTTAAAAGAGAGAAAAAAGAGGATTTTATCAGCAAGCTTATGAATTATTGGGTAACAGCAGTGCAGTATATTAAATGGTAGTCACTACTGTTTACTCAGGCCAATTCCTTGGAAATAAGTTTGCCAGAAGTAAGTATAGATTGCTCAATAATATTTTGGCTTATTCATTTGTCAAATATTTATTGAGTATATATTACATGTGAAATTATCCTAAATGATTAGAATGAGCTGGGATATAATCTGATAGTTGCATTAAAATTTTTTTTGGGGGGGGCGCCTGGGTGGCTCAGTTGGTTAAGCGACTGCCTTCAGCTCAGGTCATGATCCCAGGGTCCTGGGATCGAGTCCTGCATCGGGCTCCCTGCTCTGCGGGGAGCCTGCTTCTCCCTCTCCCACTCCCCCTGCTTGTGTTCCCTCTCTCGCTGTGTCTCTCTCTGTCAAATAAATAAATAAAATCTTTAAAAAAAAAAAAAAATTTTTTTTTTTTAAGATTTTATTTATTTGCGAGAGAGAGAGAATGAGAGACAGAGAGCATGAGAGGGAGGAGAGTCAGAGGGAGAAGCAGACTCCCCGCCGAGCAGGGAGCCCGATGCGGGACTCGATCCCGGGACTCCAGGATCATGACCTGAGCCGAAGGCAGTCGCTTAACCTACTGAGCCACCCAGGCGCCCTGATAGTTGCATTTATTGAGCAGTAACTCAGTGCCAGGCATCACACTAAGCATGCCACATGATGTCATATAATCCTTGCAACAGTCCTATGAGGTAGAGGCACTATTATCCCCAATTTAAACGGGAGAAATTAAAG